TAACAGACTAGATACCTCAACTGTTCAATTGTGGAATTGAAACTGAGTTTTTCCTTTTTCCTTTTTATTCTCAGTGAAGATTTGGATGAGCATAATCCTTGGTTCTGTCCTAAATGTTGCAAGCCACAGTGTGCCAGGAAGACCATAGCTGTCTGCCGATACCCAGACACTTTAATAGTATACCTGAAAAGGTGAGCCTAGGCCGCTTCCAAATTCAAAATTGTTTTATTAGTCTAACCAGCTTGATTTTTGTTTTCTGATTTTCTGGCTTTCTATACATGTTTCTTTGTCATTTTTAGAAGTTACATATGTGTCCATAGTGCAAGTTTTCTCATCTGAAACACAAGAAAAATTTCCCTTTCGTTTCATGAATTTGCATTTGAACATTCAACTTCGAAAAATGATATTCAAATATTAGACAATCTATCGAATATTCGGTAATTCAGATATTCAGCACAGCCCTAAAATGAAGCGTAATATTTTCAGGCGAAAAGTTTTTCATTGAGTCTTAAAATGTTTTTTTTGCCATGCAGAAAGCTGTTGTTACAATTCACTGCTGCAACTTCTGTAAGGCCTTCTCTCATCTGAATTTTTTCTCCTCGAGACTAAAACTTGTTTGTGTGTTTTGCATTTGGCAGGTTTGTCTATCATCAATTTACCAGCACCAAACTAGAGAACAAGGTCTTGTTCCCTGTGGAAGGGCTAGACATGACAGACTTCCTGTGTCCTGACGTCTCCATTCAGGAGCTTAATCTCATGTATAATCTCCAGAGCTGTGTCTGCCACTTTGGAGGTAAATATCTGAATCTTGCATGTTTTCTTTTGTCTTTTTCAGCAAAGTAATCAGAAGGAAAGTGCAGTTGAATGAAGAACGGCTGAACCTGAATCTGTTGGAAGACTTGGATAGACTTTTTTTTCACTGATGTGTAAAACCATGGAGCAATTGTAAGCAAGGAGTAAGCACCTACAGAGATTAAAAGGGTCAATGATGGCCACCACAAGCACTGCACGTGTTGCAAGGACAAAACAAATTCCGCGCCGCTTACAGGCTACAAGGAATGCTCGGAGTTGCATTTGCAAAGGATTGTGGGTACCACGCATGTGTGTCCGTAACACTTCCGCACGTTCAACATGGCCGCCTTAAGACGAAACCACTGTCATGTGAGACTGAAATTTCGATAATTTTAGTGATAGGTCTGATATTCCAATAATGAAAGTCTGGTTACATCTTTACATCCCCAAAACGTATCTCTCAACAATAAACAGAATTACTAACACAAATTCTCCAAAAATATGCAACAAGAAAACTGAAAAAATGTAGCTGGTCCAGAGGAAAATCAAAAACACACAAAAACATGGGAAGATTGGTTGTCCTTCCTGTCATTGTCCACAATTGGCCAGGCATGAAACCTTGCCACATTGTCAAATGCATTCCTGTGGCATGTTTCCACCTTCTTTTAACTGTAGGAACCACTAGGATTGCGACTTAGGATATAAATGTTGCAGTTCGTATTTTGGGTATTTCTTCTCTACTGCCGGAAACGCAAAATATCTTAACTGACTTTAAAAACGTCCGACTTTTGCCAAATAACCACCGCCGATTCAGAAATTTGGAGCGCATCTGTGGGGATCACTCGCTGACTCCTGAGGACTACTGAAGAGAACAACGCATCTTCTTACGTGCCTCATTTCCACCATTTATTGACTCCAGTATGCCGCAGTCAAGCACGGCGAGTCTGTGGGTTACTGGTTACCCGGTGGTGGCGATCACTGTGTACAAAGAATGTCTAGTGTCTTCAACACTGGGGCCAGTAACCACACTTTGTCTATGGAGCCGACTGGAGTGGTTAATAGGATTATGGTCTGTAGGGACTTCGTTCTAACTCCTTGTGTTTAATAGCTCCGTGGTAAAACTATTAGACTGTTTTTATCCATAATTGTATGCTTGTCAAAATCTTAAAGCTAACACAAGTCACATATCCTTGTCATGTGACACTTCCATTCCAATAGGTGTTAATGCAGGTCATTACACCTGTTACGTCCGCAACCCTTTGACCAATCAGTGGCAGTACTGTAATGATGAAACCATCAGTCAGCAGGAACCTTCAGACAACGATGCCAGCAGTGTATATATTCTCTTCTATCAGAGGAGAGGTGAGTTAAGCTGGATCTGGTTTTGTTAGTTATCCGTCAAAGCCTACATTTTTTGTCCTTCCTTGAGAACTTTGTGTGAGTGACTTTAAAACTTCCGTTTATTGGAGAGAATTCAACATGTCTTTTCAGGTTAAAACAATAATTTTTTTTCTGCAGGGCTTAATACTGAGTTTATCCCACCAGTTGGGTATGAGTTCAGTCCCCCCACCCCTCCGCCCCCACCCCCTGCATCACCCCCATCAGGGGAAGTGGAGCAGTCCTGTGACCCAGCAGACAGGAAATCATTTCAATCTGATGTCAAGCACTTCTCGGAATTGCACAAAGAAGAGGAACGTGCAGATGGTGAGAGCGAATTGGCAGTGGGAAGCACCGATCTCGATTGAAGTTGAACTACACGGCAAAATTGCAGAAACTATTTGATGGACAAGTTGATTGCATTGCGTATTTCTCTGCGTCTTAGGGTTATCTAGGTGAAGAATATTCCAGTATATTAATGGGATAATAATGGTATACCGCCCGCACTGCACAATATCAGGTGGATATATATGCGCATATAACAGTCATCACTATTATTACATAGAGTCATGTCCGTTTCTACTTCTTTAAAGTTTTTGAAATTTCTGTAGGGACCAATTATGGAAAGCATTTTGATATCATTGAAGTTCTGTTGGCTGGAAGTCAGTCAATCCAGGCTCTGGTGTTGCCATTGGAAACCAGAAGACATTTATAAGAATGTTGCTTACAATTGCAAGCTCAGACCACAGGGGAGAAAAATGATCAGTTTTTATTTTAGTTCCTGTAAATGAACTTTCCTTGCTTGAATCACATTTAAATTCGTGAGAAAAATGTGCAACGATGGCTGCGTACCTGGGTCATTCCATGAGGTTGGGGCACAATGTGTAACGGTGTCCATTCTTATGTGGGTTCCATAAAAATGAAAGTTAACCATGCAACAAGGACACCATTTCAAATTGTGCCCCAATCTCATGGAATGACCCACCTAAGTGTACCCGTAATGCAGTGCTTCAAAGGGTGCTAATTGTTGATGACAGTCTAATCAGGCTTCGAGTAAATCAGACAATCCAAACCTGACACTTGACAAATAGCTTACCAAGTCTTGTACATTGTTATCTTTTGTTACCTGTCACAGCCGTGGAAAATTGACATATAATGTGTACATGAACTTTGACATCCAAGTAACACTCTCTTTGTTTTTTTTCCCCTGGTGTGTCTGTAATCTCTTTTTTACGGTATTACGCCTTTTTCCTGTTTTTTTTAGTTTACCTTTCCATCCTATTGCCTTTCTCATGACCTCTGTTGCAGTTAATTTGTGTACACTCAGCAGTCATTTTGTGTGAAGGCAGCGCAGCTTGCGTGTCCTGGCAATTTGCCAAGAATTCATGGACCTGCCAGCAATGGCCAGTCAGCCATTTGTCCAACCCACACTTTGCCTTGATCTTTGAGAAACCAATGTGGCATATACCTTCACTTCTAAAGTGGCTCCTGTCCCCTTAAAAACCACACCTTTAGTGGAGAAAATTGTGACCAATCTCTCTTTACTATTAGACTGCATAGCACCCTTGTCTGTTCCTGCACACCTCCTATGGAATATGAAGTGTAGTTAGTTTTAGGGGCATTTCTCATGTTTGTCTGGAAATCTGAGTCCAAAATATTCAGCTTATATATTCAGCATATATGCAAGGAGGATAAGAAACGAATCTCCTTTTTTTCACATCTACAGGTAGTGGTGCATTTATTATATAATCTAAAAATCTGTGATTTTGGTTAAAAAAAGAACCAGAGTTTCTACACACATGTACATGTGAACCTGTAAGTTTTGCTTTGAAGTACTCGGGGATATTTGCTATTTGTGAGCCTGTCAACCTTGAAGGGATAATTCTTTGATGTGTTTCCTTTTACGTGTACATGAAAAACTGTTGTATGTCTGTCTAGAAATCCAAGTGATGGTTATGTTGTTGGTTATTGTGATATTTCAAGTCACCAATGCACAGTTTGTCTTCGTTCAGATCAGCCAGAGAACCCATCTGTTAAGTAATTCCCTTTGGCTATCAGAAAGTGACTGTAGAGATGAGAAGAGACAATTAATGTGGATCAGCCGCTGAATCAATCATTCTGAGTTTGATGAATTCCAATAGGACTTTAACCCTGAGTAGTTGAAACCGTGCATTTTCACTGCAGTATTTCTCTACTCTTGAAGGAATGAAAGCAGTAAGTTAAAAGAAAATAGTACATGAAAAAGTCACTTGTCTGAAGACAATGCGATACACTTGACCTTCAGGAATGAAAGGGGTCAAGTTGTTAGACCATAACTTGACTAAGTTACTGTTAAATCTTTCCAGTTGAGGAAAACCCCTGGAAAAATCCCACGGTGGTAGGCATACTTGTAATTGGTAGCTGCATGCAAATGACGCGTAATAGTTTTACCTATCTAAGCGTTTGAGAAATTGAGTTTACCAAGATTGGTAACACACTGTACACAGAGTGTGATGTAATTTGGCATTTCCTCTTTCTTGAGGCGTACGAGTCAGTGTGCCTTTCTAATCACTTGACCACGGGATTAAATTTTTTTTGCCAGAAAATTCCAGACTAAAAGGACGACCGTTTGAGGTGTGACGGAACCCTCGTGGGGCTCTTGTACAAAATGTTTCTACCGTGACACATTGTGTCATCCTATTTATTGATTTTTTTTTCAATGTACAGAAATAAACCATGTCTGAAGGAGCATCTTGTCATGGATTTGTCTTGTGACTTCCTAAATAACATGTTGCGTGGTTTGTACAGACGATCCACTTGATTTGTAAACCAGCGTAGTGTATCTACACGCGTAGATTAATCTGGCATCATTAATGCATTACTGCGGTGGCTGGAGCATGGCAATGGGGGCTCTTCCATCTCCCTCACCCCCACCCCTAAGGATCGCCTTTTATGGCCTCTAATTAGCGGAGGCTTCATTTTGGGGCCATTTAGTTTTTTCAAAGGGAAATTAAATAGAACAAAAATGGAAATGATAACCCAACCCCCTAAAAGGAGCTATTTTTATATACTTAATGAAAGGTGAACTAGTGGTCTCTTTCATTTTCTTTTCTACGAAAAGCATGCAAAAGTCCTTAAAATGTAGCCTCGCCCATCAGAAAGGCCACAAAAGGTTACATGAAAGAAATTCCAAATCCCCCCCCATCCCCAACACATTTTTCCCCCTGCCCCGAAAATTTGGTTCTGGATGCGCCCTTGTGACCTCTGAAGGCCTACGTGCCGCCCCTAGGGATACACAATTGGTGTCAGTATGCCTAGACTCGGTGCGTTGTATTCACTCCTCTCACCATTCTTTTGTGTGAGAAAGGTTTTTCAAGCTTCGGGTTTCGTCTTCCAGCGTTAGCCGTGGGTTCTGAGATTCCTGACTGTGGAGGTTCCCTGGCGCAGATGTGGTTGGGGGGGGGATACTCTGAGAGAGCCCCCCAACAAAAGGAGGTAAAAATGAGGGGAAAAAAATTTAAAAAAAAATAATTTAAGTTAATGTTTAAACAAGATGCATTTAGCAGGCTCTTCTCGGGTGTACACCAGTACCATAATTGCTAACACTCTATGTCGTGTAATGTTTCATCGTCGTTTCCTGCTTGTCCGCAAAAATAAGAAATTAAAAACTATCCGGCCTGACCCTCCCCCTTGGAAAAAATTCCTGGATACGCCCCTCGTCGCAACTTTAAAATTGTGGGTGGAGTTTTGGTTTGAAGTGTAAGGAAAGACGTTTCATCCGTACCTAATAGCCGAAGGCAAGATTTAGGGAAATGTAAATTTGCTGCTGGTTTCTTACCGCCAGCAACGTTAACATGCATACTTAGGAGGAAACCAGTTCGTGAGCACCCTTCAGCTATTCCAAACTTGACACAGGAGACCGAACGCGTCTTCGACTGATGAACTTGTTCCTGGGATCCTTATTGCCAATGTTAATATTTTTTGTCATTACCTTGCACGTAGTGAAACAACTTGTTCGGCATTTTGACTTCTCGTGAGAGCGTTTTGACCTTTGATTTATACTGCATGTTATCTAAGGTGATAAATACCAATGTTTTCATGCAGTTTGTTGTATAAGAGCAGAGAAAGCTACATGCCCTGTCGGGATTTGTTCAGTACCTGCTCTTCTCCATTTTCAGCCCGTACGCATAACTTCTCGTGCATTATTTTCACTTTCTTGGCTATCCGGTTCGTAAGTGTGACGTCACTTCACTTTAACCCACGCCCACTGCGCATGCCCCGCACATAGAGTTACATCCATAGCTATGTGTTGTGACGGTAATCTACCTACTCAAGATAAACTAGTCAAACATGCTGCGTTCGCACGTGTGCTTGTGTGCGGTTGAAGGTGCCCTTTGGAATATGTGCGATCAAGCATCAACACAATAACGGGCAACATCGTAGTTCATACCGTTGTGTCTATCATCACTTTAATGATTGTGCACTTTATTCGTGATCAAAGTCATCATTTTACGACTGTTATACAAATCAATAACAGGCTAAGTCACCACATTTTTTCACCATTGTCACTATCCAACCATCACCATTTCAGTACCACCGCTTTATCACCGCACAAAGTACGGTCATTGCCACCGTCATATAGTTTTTTCATCACAAGTGACATTAGCTCATGACATCACGTGAATTTTCACCATGTTGTTGATCTTGAAAAACAGAAACAGCATTTCGCAATCGCAATCGCAATGAAAAAAGGTCAAGTAAATCCCAGTCAGGGCTCATGGTGCAACCCGGGCTAATTACTGATAAAACGAAATAGATTCCCCAACAAGGTGGTAAACATCCTCGACCCATGGACTTGTGCTTCCCTTGTAAAGACAAGAATACCGTGTTTTGGAATCGGATCTTGAGACAAAGAACTTTTTGGCTCGATTCCATGATCTGAAGCTTCAACCCAAGAACAGTCCACCCCTTGCCTTTCCTCTTGGTTTGCCGACATCATGTCACCATGCTCATACACATAAGAACTACTTTTGTAGTTTCGAAGAAGCACCAGGTCCAGAAATACTCTAACCGTAGATAGATATTATCCTCTTATCAAAAACAAGTTGAATGTTGCAGGCAAAACATGCAGTGCATATTGCGTATGACTAGCCCCCGTGAATTTGGTCACCAACGTGTATTTTTCGGCAAAGTTCACACCTTTCTGTGTAAAATATACATCTATAGGTGCTTGGGCTGTTTTTGCACCCTAAGCATTGAAGGAAAACAGTAAAGGAGATACCAAGGCACCAAGAAAAGGAGATACCAAGGTCAAGAATCGATTTTTAAAAACTATTACTCTGGTTTATGAAAATGTTTCTAGCGGGCGATCACAAGGCTGACATTGCATAGTGTATGATAATGAAATTAAAGGCCTAAACAATTTAACTACGTATTATCCAAGTTTTATCCGAAATTATTTGCGACAGCGATTGGTATGCTGTGTTCATAAAAACTTGTACTTCGAACACAAATTGAAGGAGTTTAGGAGAAGGGGCAAGGAAAGTCATCAGCTCCCTGGGTCTGTCAGTGGAATTGTACGGTAACGTCTATGGTATTAATGTGGTCCTGGATCAAGTTCTTTGCGACGTGCTTCGTGACTTTGCCAAAAGTGTGTTCATTTTTCCGTCAACAAAGTAATCAGTGATCCTTTCCCTCTTGACTACAGAAAACCGGGTCAACCTGTACAAACCATCATCGAATCAGTGGCACATAACTGGCGCCTTGTCTATGCTATGTCCCGTCACTGCATGATACCGATGTTCATTCGAAAAACAAACATTTAGAAGGCGCGCACATCCTTTGCACGTACGTCTGATATGGTCTTGTTATACAGCGTTAACATTCCTTGTACTGGGAAATTTTAATTGAATACCGAATGACTTTCCCAAAATGTTGTGACTTCCTCTTTTCCCTGCCCAAAACTTACACCCAACCTAACTGTTATAAGCTTGGGTTAAATTTAATAACACCACTGTATATATCGACAAAAGATTGAGATGAAACTCTTAACTCAAATTTTTCTTCTGAAGAAAGTCACATTGAAGAATTGGCATAAAACAGACACTTAGGTTGGAGTTCTCAAGTTCGGTCTTGACATATGCGTACACGGTTTGAAGGTGAGTTATTGCTCAACGGCGTTATGCCAACGTCGTCTGTTTGGAAAATGAAAAAAAAAAACAATGTTGGTGTTCTTTTTTTCTGTTAGGGTTCATAAATAGGGCACTCGGGCGGTTGTACGATTGAACTTCGGTCCGGTAATGACAGTGACAAAATGTATACTTCAGGGGACGCACTGTCTCACCCCATCAGCATGAATTTTGCAATTGTTAAGGCCGCATTAAATACGACTGATTTGGCTGTTGCTGTAGTCTGCGACAGGATCGCCTAGCCTGGCAAAGGCTATAAACGTAGGGTGACGAAAGGGCCTGCTTTAGCTTGCTACACTTGAACATTGCTGGAAAAGGTAAAACTTTGCTATCAAGTTGAGATCCCTTCAATTTTCGTCCTTTATTCTCAGTACTGATTTGGTTCTTTTAAACCTCCGGTACGATTCCAGTACAATAATGTATAAAAACAGAGCCCTGAACTACATAAAGAGAAATTTACAAGAATATGACACTCAGTTACCTGCGTGTGGACCAGAATTAGAAATGGTTATTTCAGGGCACATTCAGATTCAGTGATTTTAGTTACGGAGGACTTTTCAAAATTTTCGATCTTTACAGGAATATGGAGACAGCGATTCGATTCGTCAAGAGTAGGTATTTCACCATGCCAAGTCTTGGTTGGATTCTGCTAATCGTACTGGGCCTGCACATCACATTGGTCAGTGTTGATGGCGGATGGCATGCATGTTCGTCCCCTTATTATTGCCTCCCTGCAATTTGAATCTCTTCCTCTTTCGTGATATTTGTCCTAAATATTTTGATATTAATTACACGTATTCTCAAATCGATCAACCAATCTTCTTTTTGATTTGTTTTATCCTTTGTTCTAGGGCACTGCTCTCTATCCAGAGTACCTTCCCTTCGAGCGTTATGGCCCTCTGGGTCAGTTGGCTGAATACTTCCATAAGAACGATCTTGGCACCATCGCTCCTTTTCTAATGTAAGCTTTTAAGAAGATGAAACCACGAAGATTTCTTTAATAATTAAATACTATTAACATCCCGAGGTGCATGTTTTGGTTTCTTCCGTTTTCAAGAAACCTGGTGATTGGTCAAATGGTGTAGCTTGGCAGACATCAGATTTTGGGGAATTTTAAGCCTTAATGATGGTAGGAAAACCTTGGAAACTTGTTCAGACGAACCCTTGACATGTAGCCCCATAGGATTCGAACCCAGATTTCAGAGTTGGAAGTTGAGATAAGGCTCTCTCCTCCAACCTCCCCGTCTTCTAACTGCAAGGACTTTTTTAGAGTAACAAAAGATTACACCCTTATTACATCTCACACTAATTACACGTTAGATGTAGTTAACACTTGGAAATGTAACTGAAAGTATTTATCGATATTTTATTAAATATTATTGGCGTGACTTCAACATTATTTGCCCATCTACATGTCTAAATCGGACCAAACTAACCCAAGGTTTGTGTGCGCTGAATTTTTCCCCACATTTTAGGTAGTGCATTGATTTTTATAAGACTTGATTGAAAAAATGTGAGAAGAACAACCCTTGATGACTTAACTTACATCAACTGAAATGTAAATTGAAGATTCGTTTTGCAAAACTTGCTTGTATTGCAGATGTTCATTCTATGTGATTTGTCATTCAGTTGAAGCCATCTATTGTTGGAAATTATGCAGGTAATCCTGTTTTATTCTCTTCCTGAAATTCAACAGATTATCAATGAAATGCTTACAGGAAATAGGTTTTAGTGATGAGTGCGGTATGTTACGGTACGTGGTTGTGCTTTGTAGTTATTGGGACAGTTAGTGACGGCATAAGAAAATGAAAAATCGAAAAAATTGAAACAATAAATCAGATGGGTCATTCCTGGTTTTGAGGGACTACGTCCACAAATCAATGTTTATTCGATCAACAGTGATAAGGAAATTGAGAAAATGACTCGCTTCAAGTGGATCATCTCGACGTTGTGCTTTGGAGGTTTCTCTCTGTACGAGCTCGTCCGATATCAGCCACTGGTTATCCAGGAATAAATGAAAGCCCAACTGACAGTCGACGCCAAGGATCTGTTACCATAGTAAAGAAGAGTTACCTCTCGCAACATCCTTGAATATGAAGGTGGAGTTTTATCAATTCTTTGTTTTTCAGTATTATTCTTGCTTTTTAATCTGCGTAAATAAGTGATAAAAATGTTTCACGAAGCCGACATAATTGTCCTTTCAATTTTACAGTGAAATTTATGAATTTCATCAGGCTTTAGTTTGAACAATTTTGTAGTTATTTGTTATCATTTCGCTTGAAATGAGTCAAATGTACATTACGTCATCTGATGTCATTGCCCGAAGGAAATGGGCCGCGGCTTAATTTTTGTTATGAATTTTACTTCAAACATTCCATCGTTTAGTGCATTTGTTCTAAAACCATGTTTTTTTTTCTCTACTGTACTTCATCATTGCGTGTAAACAGATATTTCAAAGAATGTATTCCATAAAGCAAGCTGTTGTATCCTTTGCTTGCTCTGTGAAGCTCAGCCTTTGCTTGCTCTGTGAAGCTAAGCAGACGATATCTTTGCTTGGTTGAGAGCCAATATGGCATTTTGTTTAACTCATCTTGATCGTTTGACATGTCAGTCTGCAGAACTGAAGATTTTTTGCGTCTGTATCCTTATGCGTACATGTATACGTATGACGTATTGCAGCAAGACCGCGTTGAAATACAGTGAATAATGTGAAATTTGTCAGGGGATTTCTATTGTGACTGCTGTGTGACATGATTGGTTTGTTTTGTTTTGCCTTAATGTGATCAAAGTTTGCATTTTACATCTGTTGTTAATACAGGTATTATGATTGCACGATGACATTTCTGTGTTTACGTAAGTTGAGTGCTGACTTGTAAAGAATGTGTAATTAATAACTTAGCTATAAATAGCAGTTTGTTGAAAAGTATCTTTGACACTTCAAGCTAGAGAAGCTGAAATAACTTTCCTTAGCACCAAGTAGATTGCTTCCAAATATTGCAAGATTTTATTCGTTCCGTGTATGAGATACATCGGTGTGTGAATTTAAGTCTTCAAAACCTTAAAGGACGCCGAAGTAACATTCTGTTGAGAAATAGGTTTGCGGGTCCACCATGGAATCAATCTCTTTTGGGCGAGGAATGGTTCTTAAAAGAACCGGTGAGTGTAATTATAACTCTAAGTTTCGGCCTTTGTGCTCTATCTGGCCGTCCTCAAGGAGAGTGTGCCGGAGTGGAGTGGATAGCTGGGTTCTTTTAAGAACCACACCTCGCCCAAAAGAGATTGATTCCATGGTGTACCCGCAAACCTATTTCTCATGTCTCTTCCACCATGCAAAGCTTCAAATCTTACTTATCATTCTGTTATTTCTTACAAGGATAATTCTTTCTGTTGAATTAAGTAACTGTAACATCTCAGGATTGCTGAACAGTAATCATCGAATGTGGGCGTTCCACTATAGTGCGCCTCCAAGAGTTTGCAACGCGTTGGCCAATCACAATGCACGAAATCTGTCGACCCAATGCGCGTTTGGAAATGGTGGACAAATTTAGTGCGTTGTGATTGGCCAACGCTTTGCAAACTCTTGGCGGCCCACTATTGTGAATCGCCCGAATTGTCTTTTCTTTTTTGGGCCCATTATTACTTTTGTCTGCACGGAGCATCCTCACTATTGACTTTAGTGTTTTCAATTATTAATAAGGGAAACAACTTCCAGCCGCGTCCACAGATGGGGCCACTGAAACTCTCAAAGAGCACGACACGACGTACGACGCGTCGTGTGATGTCGCCCTTTGCTTCATGGCATTCGCGATTTCAGCAATTTTCAGCTGTTTTTATGGTCCATTCAAACCCCTGATTTGTAGAGGGCGCCTTTACTTCTTCCTTTCATTTCAGTCCCCCCGTGCTTGCATAGCAGGGCTACATGCTACAGGTAGCAGGCCTTGATTCTGTTGTTTTTCATGCATTCTTTCTAACTTTGTCTTTTTATTAAGAGTGAGTTGTTGAAGCAGAAAGTTTTTTTTTTAATGAACTGTAATTGGAAAGTGCATCGTGGCCGACTATCACTATTGTCTACAGGAAATAAATAACATTAACATCAGCCACGACAATGTCTTTGCTTTTCTTGCTCTAATTCTGATCCTTCTAATTATTTGTAAATCCATTCTATGATACAATATCACTCATTATTACGTGCTTGCTAATGTGCGTGGCCAAACAGAGTTGAAGAAAAGGCATCGTTACTATGATAATAGGGCCTACAGTGTTTTATTCAGAAACACGGACTGATATCATTGAAAATGTGGTGCTGATAAAGTTAACGACGAAGCACGAACTGAAGGAAGTCTTGCGTGCGATGCATGCACTCTTGGAAGGAACAACAGAGGGCGTGATTTTCCATACCAACAAGGGCCTTTGTTGGGAAGTCACCCAAGGTGCATTTCGTCGTTGGTATAGATGTCTACGCAAGAGCTCATTAATACATGCATGTTGCGATTCCATGGTAAGATGTCATAGTCAGGACCACTATAAAACCTTTTCTATAAATCAGACACTTGACAAATACTTGTAACTTGTACTTCGTTCACAAAAACCTCCGACTTGTGGGCCTAAATTTCGGGGAAGATAAACAATTGACGTGGCTAACACTGGTGAAATTGAAACGAAAAGAAATTGTCAGTGAAACACACCTTGGCCGTTTTCCAATACTCAATTTTGTTTCCGTCTTAGGCTGCGTCTCCAAAATCAATCCTGGTTT